AAGTTCTGGACTTGATCCTCTGAACCTCAAAAACACTTGTCTTTCGGTTTTTGTTTACCAACAGGCAGATAAAAAAAGCAGGCAATCGTCAACTAAACTAAACTTTCATCAACTTCTCATTATCCAATCACTGAACTTCTGACGTTTATGACAAGCTTCAGATGCTGCTGTGAAAAAAGAACAAACATCAGAGGAATTTCGATGAATATGAAACCACAGCATTGGACAAAATATTTATTCTGGACAACAACACCACCTCCTGTTCAGAGACGGTACATAACGTCGCCAAAAAACAGAATGAAGCTAAAAAGTGACAGGTGTCGAAGTCCTATATTTGACAATCCAATAATCTGACTGAGGGACACTGAGAGGACGTGGTGCCGGAATGTGACGATGATTCATTTGAACCGAGACCCAAAATGTTTTTTAACGTGGTTTTAAACATTGACCCAACGTGACGTCAGCCCTGAGATCAACACTGTTCAGATCTGGACAGATGTGGCCAATCCTTAAATATATATTTTTGAAAAAAAAAACTTTCATGGCATAAATAAAACATTGTTTCAGGATGACTGTTGAGTAACAGATGATACAACACTGCCCCTAGTGGCACTAATGACACTTTACACCAACAATGACTACATAAAACAAAACCAAAAAGAACAAAACAAGAAATCTCTGCCCGTCTGAACAGGTCTGGTGGCACGTCAGCATTTTGTTTAGTTAACGCATCATTAACCTATAAGAAAAAAACATGTCAATCACATGCTTGGTGTTTGGTCAAAAATCTGAAGATGTGATTGTGAGCTGCCGTTAGTGGTCAGGGCGTCCAAGGGAAGACCATGGAGGTCCTCTGATTTGTCCTTACACCGTGTGGTTGTGTGGAGTAACTGCTTCTGTCAGATAAGGCTTGGATGAGGACAAAAACCTTCTCCTTTCAAATGTAATAGTATGAAGTACTGACACACAACTGGCGCCAACAGTACTGTTGATCACCTGTGACAAGAACCAGTGCTCTGAGGCGACAGGCAGCTCGGTTCTGTCTGGAGCGCTGAGGCCATGTGACCTGCTCTGCTGCACCACAGTCCATAGGTTTTGGTATACTGCAGTGACATTAATACACCACCAGGGCAGCAGTAGTCGTCATTTGGTTAAATGACTTTGGTGAAAAAAAAAGTATTTTACTTGAGCCAGGAGCAGAGAGAGTGACGTCATCTACTGAGCATTGTGCCTTTTTTCAACCACAGGAGGGCAGAAGGGGGCACTGTAATTTCCCCGGCTTGGATCAATCAGGTCTATCAATCTATCATCTACACAGAAATGCATGTCAGGATGTCTGACAGTATGTTGAGTTCCAATAAAATATTATAATGGTCAGGAAACTTTTGACTGAATGAGACATAGAAGAGAAAAGAGAGAAAAGAACTGGGTACCTGTGAGGGGGCGGAGCCAAGACACACATTCCCTGTCACACATGAGCAGTGGTAAAAATATATTCTTATGATAAAGTAGTGATCTATGAACTGAGGCAATTTTAATGGAGAACTAAATCAGTTTTTAATCATTTTACTACGTCTCCAGCTGTAAACGGTTCCACCAGGATGACTGTCTCCACCGCAGGGACAAGTACCAGGAACTATACACCATTCAACTGCAAGGAGCAGGACCAGGATATACTCAGCATGCTTTCTGCTCAAGGTAAAACTTTTGGGGACAACTGCAATCAGGATCAGACGTTGATTTCATTAAAAAAAAAAAATCATTCTGTGCTTCTGTTAGATCGAGTGTTTGAGCCAAAATGACAAGATGCCCCAGTGCCAGGTAATGAGCTCAGAGCAGGCACAGAGGCATTAGCAGTCTGTTAGTGGTGTTTTCAGGAGACTTAACACCAACCACACTGGTTTTAAGACACTTTGGTGTTACATACGTCTCCTCAGGACTGCCCGGTTCCCATGGTAACAAGAAAAATAATGTAACAGCTTCTGATTGGCTGGCAGCAGAAGAGGCCCAGGCACAGGTGCTGAGAACCCTGTAAGGCACAGAAGCGTTTCACCCTTGAGCCTCTCTGGACTGTGGTGATGAAACAGTGACAGTCACTGGTGAAGGTCTGACAAGAATGGTTACAATACACACAACAACAGCCAACCACACACGACGCACCACGGCCTGACAACAACCTTCTCCACCAACACTCTGTAGAAATGCAGGTCAGTGATAACCGGTTCCTGGTACTAGAAAGTTCTAGGTCCGGACTTTTAGCTGTGCTGGTCAGAGCAGCGCGTTCACCACGTGCACACACTCAGTGCCACGGTGACAAAGTGCTCCCTGAAGAAAACAACAAACCCTCACGTTTGTGGAAAATACATTCAAAGGTCAAACAGTGACCTCTGACCCCGGATACAATGACTTAAGTCATGCGAGTCACACTCCACGTACACACACACACAAACACAGTGTGTGATAATGAGACCCTGTAGAGTTGACGATGTCTGATCAGGTACCTTAAAATTTAACATTTAAACTAATCAATAACTTAAAAAAATACAGATCCAAAATGTGTTGAGTAAATCCAGGAATAAATAAACTCAAATTATATCAAAAACATTCCATTAAAAAATTAAATACCTTTGATTATCGTTCATGTCTGAGCCACAAAAATTCAATTTCAGTATAAATAAAAACGACAGTGTTCACCTGTCGTCGTCCTCGTCGCTTTAATTGGAGTGAGATTTTTTCCCCCATCAGTCTAAAGACGTGATTGGCCGAAGAGCAGCGTGACACCGATCCTCCACTCACAGTGGGCAGGGCCTGGACAAAAATGGCCGCAGGAAAGATGGCGGAGTTAAGTTCTGTGGATGATCAGCTGTCCCTCAGAGGAAGTCTGGTCCAATGTCTCCAGGAGGGGGCGGAGCCTCTGTAGGAAGGGGCAGAAAAGACTGTAAGTGGAAAAAATGTAAGGTTTAAGTTTGGATGAAATTAGTAATTTAAAATAATTAGTAATTTAAAATAAAAGTTGATGCATTCATTAAAACAATGAAATGAAGAAACAGGTGAGTTCTGTTAGGTTCTAGTGTTTATTGGAAGGTCAGATTAGGAGAGAAAATGATCCAAAAAAAACATTTTTTTACTGAATTCATTTTGATGAATTTTTTTTTTCTTTTGAAAAGGTGGCACTTGATAAAAAGTTTAAATGTCTCCAGTATAAAAATTAAAACAGCTTCAATCACCCCCCCCGCACCTCACTCATCTGGATGTTCCTCACCCACTGTGTCAGCTGTCGTCAATTCTGCTCCCTGGAAGTCCTTTGATGGTCTTGTTCTAAGGAGCAAGAATAAAAATAAAAATGTTTTTAAAAAAATCCTTCCACACACGTCTCTATCACATCCTGACAACAAGAGTGATTCAATGACAGAGCATCTGTTGATGCTGCTGCTGCTGTTGATGCTGCTGCTGCTGTTGATGCTGCTGCTGCTGCTCCTCACCTTGTGCTTTTTACACTTCATGGTGAAGTTCTCCTCGGTCAGAACACAGTCTGCAGGGACAGGAAGAAGAGTCAGAGTCAGAGTCCAATCAGTGACTCAGTGAAGCACCGCCCACACGTTCACATTCACACTGGGCCTCAGCAGCTATTTTCAGAGCGGAACACACATGATCCTACAGGCGTGGGAACGTTCCCATTCAACAGGTACACAGATAAATTTAGGCCAGAAGAAAATGTTCTTTCTCAAGTCCAGCAGCGTCACCACCTGCTGGTGCCGTGTGTTTGTCTTAAGACTCACAAACACATCCAAAGCAAATTGTGCTTTTATCCAAGGAAAACAGATTTGATTTGTTTTTGCCCAACGTCAGAAGTTAATCATTCAATCACATTAGAAAAGATGGTGAATAAACGCAGGTCTAAGACCAGGTCAGGTTGGTTGGTACAGATAAAAACAAGCTCCAGGGACTTTAGTGCTGTTGTGAACAGAGCTACTACTGCAATACTACTGCAGTACATCAGTGAGATGACTAACTCAATTTCACAAAGAGAGGAGTGCTCTAATATTACACACTCTATGGCTCTTGGTATTATTGTCTTTGTTATTATTACATATTCTACTCCAATAGAACATGTAATAATAAGAACACAGTAAATAAACAGAGCCACCCTCCTCACTCAAACCACAAAGAATTGTGGGAAACTGTTTCCATACTCAGACAGACCACAACATTCCTGAAGTAGAAATACCTCTGTGGTTATCCTTACAATAAACAGACATTTGACACCTTACACAAAAATGAAAACTTGAACAACATTGTATTTACCTTCAGGACAGTTGAAAGGTATGGGATTAATTGTGTTTTTGAAAGAAAATTGGTCAACAATTATGAATTAAATTGAATCAGTTTTAACCTGCAGACTGACAGTGGGACGTACCTGACTTCAGAGCACACCTGTAGTGGTACTTGTTGGAACAGCCTTTAAAGAAGCAGCCCAGTGTGGCTCCAGGGTCCTGACAGGCTGAACACATCTGAAAGATATGACAAATGAGTTTGAGCTGAGACCTGTAGAAACCCACAGCCTTACTGTCCACTCTGTCCTGCGGCCTCGGCCTTACCATCTTCTGTGCCGCCTTCACCGCCTCCTCCAGCCCGTAGACTTTGCCCTTCACCAGGAACACGCCTGCAGACCAGATGCCACAGTCTTCGTGGAGCCAGTACTCACAGGGCTCCTGTGGCAGCAGTGGGGGGCTGTACCAGTCGTCCCACGCTGCACCATTGGAGTCTGAACGAGCTGGTTTTGCTAAAGGGCTGTCGGTGGCGTCAGACCACCTTTGGTTCTCTGGACGGCCCTTTGACTGGAGCTGAGCCCCTGCTCTGAAGGACCAGGATGTGGGCGGAGGAGCACACTTCCTTCTCTTGATCCCACCGCTGGGACTGCAGGAGGACGAGTCCGAGTCGCTGGAGTCGTCCTCCTTGAGGCCTGATGCGTTCGCTGGTCTTTTGGTACTGGGCTGATACCCCTCTGGGTAGTAGGGGCCGTGAAGGTCCCCCAAGTCCATTGTGTTGGCTGACTGTCCACACAGACAGCAGACAAGCACACGCTGGTGCTGACCACGTGTTGAGACTCGACCCAGCTGCAGACAGGAAGAACTAGGTACAACTGAAGAGCTGAAGTAAGAGGAGCAGCTCTGCTGCTGACCTTTCCTACTTTGGGTCTTCACCTCCTCAGGGTAGTTGACAACAGTACACAGCGAGGGCCTCGACTCCCGGCGCTCTACATGGACAAACGGTGAGAAACCGTCCGACCTCTGGTCCTTTTTCTCCTCCTTGTAGTTCACATACTTCAACTTGATCTCCGGCTCTTTGGGGGAGAACATGGAAACCAATGAATGTCTACCAGTGGGTTTCTTCCTCCTCCTCTTCTGAGGGCTTCGCGGTGCCTTGGTCTTGGTCGCAGGAGAGTTTTTGCCCCCGACAGCCCGGACTTTGGCTTTGCCTCCACGGTTCTTTGGAGACTTGGATGACGAGAGCAGCAGTGGAGGAGATGTTTCCACAGTATCTTCATGGCAGGGTTCAGGACTGGAGAGTGGCGTCGGCTTTTCCTGGTTCACAACAAACCCTGGACTGCACTGAGAAGACCGAGTCCTCCTTGATCGCGTGGACGTTGTCTCTGTCGATTGACCAGGTTGTGGTACAACCACCGTTCTCTCCACCACAGACGTAGGACTCTTTGAAGCTGTACTGCAGTTTTTGTAAATACTGAGGGTTTTGGAATCTGAGGTAGCGTCACTGCAGCTGTCAGTGTTAATGTTATTGCTGGTGGGACTCTTCAGTGGACACCTGGCTCTCCGTCTGATGGTCTTCACTGAAAAAGACGTCCTCACTCTCCTCCTCCGTTTCTTCAATGTCTGGGCGTCGACCATCTGAGGAGCTGCTACACTTGAGTCACCAGCTTTTTTATCATTGTGTATGCATCCCGACAGTTGATACCTGCCGGAGTTAATGTTCATGACAATGGCCTCCAGACGCTTCCCCCTGCTGGAGCGCACAGGAAGCTTCCTCTCATTTAAAGTCATGTGTAGTGCATTAGGACCTCCATTCATGTGAGTGAGGACAGTCAAGGGTTTGTCCTCTGAAACCTTCATCACTGCTCTGGGTCCCAGCGACTCCTGCTTGTTTTCACCGCTCGAGTCCTCTTTTGTGGAGTTGGTGCTGGTGTCAGAGAACTGAAGGGCGTCTTCTGGACTCAACCCATCCACTGCACTATCACCTGTGGTCTCCTGATAAGAGTTGTCCCCGCTGGGTGAGCAGGAGGCCTGAGGCAGGACAAAGACATCCTCTGAGGTAGCAGACGGAGACACAGGGTCCTCCAGAGGACTGGTGTAGTCCCCGTTTATTGAGCATGTGTCAGGAGCAGCTACACTGTCCATCATGACCTTGGAATCCTGTGTTTTTGATTTGAGGAAGACAACCTCAGGACCACTCTGCTCTTCGTCTTCCACTGCCGCAGGAGCGAGCAGCTCTGGAGAGGATTCAACACACGCTCCTGGACTGGACTGTCCATCAATTTGACTGCTCTCCAAACCACTGCTGTCCCCACAAGAAGCACTGCAGTCCATGTTTTCTTCACTTACATTATCTCTGGAACCTGCTCCTCCATTAACGACATAAGGCCTCTGTGTTAGACACACAGCCTCACCACCCACTGCTCTGTCCTGGGCCTGAGATAAAGACAGCAGGAGGTCAGGTGGAGAAGCCAGTGAACCTGGCTCCTCCACCTGCTGCAAATACTGCTGGCTCAGTGAATACCCACTGTCCAGGAGCCCTTTGTTCAAGGCCTGTGAAGGTTGCAGGGAGAGCCTGCTGATGGGCGGTACGCTACACAGTGATGAGTGGCGAGACACAGAGTCTTGAGTGGAGAAGACACGAGACCTGCTCACATAGGAGAGGGTGACTGTGGTGTGGGAGAAGGCATTGTCTGGTTGAATGTGTTCCCCTGATTGGTTGATGGAGTCTGTGTCCAAGAAGGTTCGTCCTGGGTCCCTGGGGTTCTGGTACCAGCCGGGGCTTTTGACCTGCCGCACTGCATCCAGGGAGGTGGCGTTCAAGACACATTCCTCACTCTTCCTGGTCAGATCGATCACAGTGGGGATGCTAGAAGTGGAGAGGTCCTGAGGCTGGAGATCATCTCCCCTCCCAGGTGGCTGCTCCATAACAACTGAAAAAGGATGGAGACAGTAATGAGACAGGTTTCAAGGTGTAAACAGAACCTCAGTCACTCAGCTGAAGTCAGCAGTAACAACCAGTATACACTGTACTTGATACATGTGTTTTTTGCTCTAATGTCTTAATATATCCCCAAATAGTTAATCCTAGATTCAGTAATAAAATGTATAGGACAAATATTAGATGCTACATTTGTGAATCTTGCCTCAGTTGTCTATTAAAGGCACTGCAGCTACAACAGCATGTTAGTATGCTGATTTTGGTAAATGCCAGTAAAACAAAAAAAGAAAAAGAATTTGATTTAAAGGGAAACTTGATTAAAAATATTTGTAACGAAGGTTAAAACCTAAGCTTTTCTAAAGCAAATATTACTAATATCAATTTTAGAAGAGCAACAAAACGGGAAAACGGTCTCTTATTGATTATATAATTTAAAACCCTCAAATGTCAGATTTTTAAATTTCTTAAACGGGCCAAA